TTTTTAAGTACTCATATAATAATAATATATATACATTTTTATGTTCAATAAATATAGAAAATTTATGCTAGCCTAACACATGTACCACTTTCTATATCACTTACTAGGAAAGAAATACATGTAAATAAATTAGAGACTTCTGCGATTAATAACACTAATTAATACACAAAATATTAATCATAGTGTCAATTAATTAGTCAATAGTAGGAAAGAAATGGTTATGTTGACCTAAATATAAAAGTCAATTCAATGAGTTTCATTGCCTTCGTACATTTTACGATTAATATCAGGAATTTAGTGTAAATGGAACACATTTTTTTTTTCAATACTCAAGGGAAGCTTAACAAATTCAATTTGAATATAAAATTTCAAACTTACCAATAGCTGTCTTTCTGTTGGTAATGTTCAGAAGCAGTTCTACATCTGAATAAACTGTTGCAGGTGCTTGCGATAATTAATTTCACTTTTATTTAAAGTTCGAATGATTGAATTGTCACAGTTCTGTTTTTATTTAATTGTAAAATTCAAATCAAAATTAAAGAATTCTTCCTGAATGAGTTTGTTTAATTACAGACTTGTATGTGAATATCTTCCAAGAATCCTTCTTGAAGAAAACTTTTAAATAAATTCCCTAAATTTAAACTTTAAAAATCAAAACAAAATCAAGTATCTTTATCCTCTAATCCACAAAATGAAGTTAATCAAATCTCAATATTATTCCAAAGAATCACCACAAAAAAATCAACAAATCACAGCTGAATCCTCAACAAAAACACTCGAGATTCCAAAACACGATCAAAAATCCACTAATTAACCGAAGTCAACACATGAATATCGGACCTGAGGTGTGAGGGGTCAGCTCTGAACTGGCCAGTGGACAGGTATAACATGACGGCATTGGACTCTGTCGCGGACACATCACGGTGACAATAAACAGAATTTATTGTGTTCCCATTAGTTTATGTTGACCATTTGTTATTGATGTATTTATTAGTACGCTTTTAAGTGTCACCCTGTGAGTATATATTGTTTCTGTTGAAAATTTAAATGTCTGTATATAATCACTCTAAACCCGATTATCCTAACTGGATTAGAAGATTTAGTTAAAGTGGGAATTGTTACAGTTTTTTTCTCCCATAATTCTGTTGATTGGTATACATGTATAAGAATTTGGTTCATTTTCATTGGTTCTCATTAGTTTATTTGTGTAGATACAATCACTTTCCTTAATAATCAGACTGATTCATAATTACATTCTTATCAATCTAACTATTTACAGATTAAATTAATACAATAAACATTCCTTCATGTTATTAAAAAATATCTTTAACATAGAAAAAATAAACAATGCATGTACTATAATCTTTTTCAAATTCTCACTCCCTTACAAAATGGATTGTCGCAATCTTTTTCAATTTCATAATGATTCAATTGAAACATTTAAATTTTTGCAACTCAGATTAACTAGCTATTTTGAAGATGGAGAATTTATCTTTTTTCATCTTATCTTTTAATTATGTTTTCTTTTAATAAACTATAAAAGAAAACTATCATGATAAAATTAACAACAGGAATATCAAATACTGTTATCACAAGCTCAAAAATCGATTCTTCAAAAGGACTGACAATTGTTATCATTTTTTTCATAAAAATTCAAAAATTTTTAATAATTTTTTTTTTTTTGGGGGGGGGGGGGGCAATCATTGATGATGGAAACTGGCTAAACAGCACTTCTATCTACAACAAAGATTTGATGCAACAGATGGCTGAATTCTGAGCCTATTCCTCATAATAATTGATGTTATTTTTGACAGAAGATTCCTCATTCTTGTTTTGACAATGTTGTCAAGTATCTTGTTTTAAAAGTTGGGGGAAAGAAAAAAGTGCATTATCTACAAACATGCAGTGCTTTTTTCATAGAACCTTGGGACATCAATAGGATTTCTGATAAACATCTCGACACAAAAGCTGTCGTAATCAGCCAGACCAAAAGTACAGCGCAGTAGATCAGTTCCAGAAGCACTATAGCTTATACAAAACCTTTAGCTCTTTCTGCACTTCTGATATTTAAATATAGATTTTAAAAACCTTATAACAGATACTTTACAGAAAGAAAAAAAAACAACAGCATTAGATCCTTTTTTCTGTTTGGTTTGTACATTGGTCTTTAAAATGCCATATTTCACAAACTGAAGATGATTGAGTAATATTAAGTACATGTATGTAATTTAGTATAAGGTCGTGTAATAATGACCTCAAAGCCAAAAAAGGGCCATTTAATTATTGCAGGATGTGCAAACTAGTTACACCAAGTTTAAACAGATAAAATTCCATCTTACCTCCAATTCAAAGATAGGATCCATCATTGTGTAAGAGAATTAAAAATCATATTATACACCTGCATTAAGGTAATCACTGTTCAATAATGTGTTAATCTTATTAAGTGAGAGAGGTGTCTGGTTCAACGACCACTTTATCTACTACTGATAAACTTGAAGTATACTTATCCAAAATCACAACACATATGACGGTTATCAATTTTAATATTGTGGAAAAAATTACAATGCTCAATCAATTTAGCTCAGGTTAAGAGGCTGAAAATGAAGCCATTCAAAGAGTGTCAGATGCATTGGATCTTATCAGAGTTAGGCCAATATTGATCCATTCATTCTAATCCAAAACCTGCTGCCTTCATCGTTTAGCAGCAGCATTATGTACCCGTACTAACCTCCAACCAACTTCAGCTCTTTTGTATAGGCACTGACATTAAATTTTTGAATGAACATCTTTTCTGGTTACCGGGGTATAAAAAAAGAAAATAAACTGACAAACTTGCTTCAAGCATATTTATCTGGCCAATTTAATGAGTTTGTCTAAAATATTATGAAGGACACATTGAAAATGATAATGTCAACTTCACAGACAAACTAAGGACAGGGTCTATGGACAGACATATCAACAAATGGACAACATGCAGAGAAAGGTAAAACTTTACTGCCCTTGTTTTGTCAATAGTTAAGACTTGTAAAGTTACACAATCAAGATCTGATGAAAATTACAGCAATAAATATGAGAGTTTAAGTAAACATATTGACCACACAATCCTAAGATCAAAGCCTGGACAAATATACTACAGTATCTACTGAAATTTGGTGGTTGGATTGAGTCAGTCAGCAAATTATTTACTACTAACTTGGCATATACTCAAATGAACAAAAATATGTAAGAGTTATTTCCCTTCAACTGCATTTATCTCACCAGAAAAAGTATTGAAAAGGCAAGCATTGTGGTCAGGTTTGAGTGCATGATTTAGAGTATGGAATATGTATTCAGATTCATTTCTGTAATTTATAATTTACTTACTTTGCAACATTTGTAAATAAACTGTTTGGTTGAATTCAAATTTTCTAAAAATATCCATTTTGAATATTTTCATTTTTCAAAAATCAATTTAGTATCTTAATTAATTCATTAATATGTTAATGAAAGGATACTGGAATAGATCAGAATAATATGATAATAAAATTTATTTCATCCACTGAACTGGTTTATAAATTTAAATCAAAATTGATTGTAATACACAGTAAAATTATCTTTCACTTTTTTGATATGCCAGTCAACAACATCGCTATCTGATTTATTGTTTATTATGAATAATGAACCCAGTACACGGACATTCAACACATTCAAAATCACTCATCAAAGCTTAAACTTTTTTAAAGTGATAAAGAAAACATTAAAATTAATCGTCAAATAAAACACCTGGCTTTATTTTTGTAGAGGAAGCTTTAAAACATTTAAACATAGAAGCATACTTACTGTAATCCTAGCCTTTCTCAAGAGATAAATAGTTACGTAACTTATCATTTTCGGGAGCTTATAATTACAATTTATTATCTTGTACATGGCCTTGTACTTATCTATGATGAGTATGATTATGATTTTTATGTTGTTTAAGAATTATATTGTGATGCAGGCATGATCACTACTAATCTAACATTTCCTGTGTCTATAAAACTGTTCGTGGCTGACTATTACCCATTCAGATGCAAGCTAGTGCAAAAGCCACATTTTTCAGTAGAAAACGCTTAATCTGTTTAAGTTTTAAAAATCAATATGCAAGTTAAATGAAGTGCATGTTAATTTCCTTCTCAGATAAGAAACCCATATCTTATTGTCAAAAATTATACTTTAGGCCATATAAAATTGAAATCTTGGTTCTCAGGCCCGCGCGCATCCGTTTTGAGGTAGCAACATTGCCGATTTTATTGTATTTTTGATAAAATAAAAAGTTGGTGTTGCGGAGACCAATCCGGGAAAAAAAAATTCCGACCTCATTTGTTTCGTAGTTTAGTATTCAAATATCACTTCCGGTAGCCATTTACAATGAGATTTTGGCTACTTCGTTTGAAAATACATTCGAGGACATTACCTATGATGTTTACACGCTGTTAAGCAATGGATAAAGCAGAAATTTTGACCAGAAATGGAAAGTACATCTGTGATTAAAAAAAATTATCTTTATGTCAAAGAAAATTCGGAAATTAAAATTAAAAAAAATTCCTCCCTCATCTACTTTATTGCCAATAAAATGAAAAATAAAATGCCGCCCTCCCGCATCTGTTTTGGAGAAAATTGGCCTGAGAACCAGGGAATTAAATTTAGATAGCCTTAGTTATTTATCCAGAAGGGGCATGGTTTATATATACATGTACTATAAAATTCTATGAATATTTGATACACCAGAATTAACTTTGACATTTTGAGAGCAAGTTCATCTAAAAAGGGTCATTCCAATAAACATGCTCTAATTTGAATTAATGTACTGTATGCCTGCCCCCTTTTTTTTTGTTCTAACTCATTTCCATGTGAGAACTGCATTGACAGTTACTAATCACAAAATCACACTTGATACTTGCGACTTAAACTATGAATAATTCATACTCCTCATAAGAAATCATATCATTATTAACATCCTTCTAGACCTCATGCACTCACAGTCAAAAATAAAAGAAAAATGTCAAATGATTCAATAACTCCCTTACCAGTTTGACATTTCCATTTTCAAACTCCACAATAGCCAGTGCAGGTACGGGCGTTTTCTTTTTCCTCAGCGTCATTGACACAGACCGCGTGAAGTGGTGGAACCTCCCATGATGTGTCTCCTCTCCCTCACACTCTATACCCTCCTCCGGCAGAGTGGACCGCCGCTTACCCTTCAGGGTCAGGTGGAGGGTGTCACTGATGTGGTGTATAGTATCCCACGACCACCGCCGCCGGTGGAGATAACCCAGCAAAGACGGACTCTCGGTCTCCACTGACATTCGCCTGTGTTTCAATCGATGCAGATCATTTTCCACTTTTTCCGCCTCTACCGATTTTCGACGCGGATGAAGATGCTTCACGTCAATTTCCACTTTTTCCGTCTCCACGGACATCCGTCGGTGTTTTAACCGATGGACATTGACCGACACTTTGTCGGTTTCTATGGACATTCGCCTCTGGTGCAGTCTTGGCATGTTTTCTCAGTGTCAATGTTCCCAACTAGCCATTACCACAGCAGAAGTTGTAAATTCCCTTTAGAACAATCTGGCCCCTGCAACAAAATGTGGAGTGGCTATCATAAACAGGAAAAGTAGACACAATCAACTCGGGACGACAATTCGATAATAATAGGGATATGTATAAATATATATATCTCAGGTTTCCTTCACTCACAAATATGCCTCACCTATTTAGAGAACAGTTAGGGACCCACTGTATTAAATTGGTTTAAAATCTTTTATTATCTTTCAGCGACAAATTGCTGGATTTAATCCTTTTCAAAAGCACTCCAAATTGTAGAAATAAAATTAGTCCATAAAGTGAACATATTATGTCCTCAGTGCTGTTATTTTACTTATATGCTAAAATATTTTCCCAGCGATTTTTAAATTTCCTCAAGGATTTATTTGACTTCCATTTTTTACGGTATTGATTTGAAAATAACTTGTAATAACAGCGGACCTCATACCTATCACCACAGTTTATGTCCACGTAACAAGGAAATCTATTTTCTTCTGCGTTTAATTTTTTTAGTATTCATTCCACTATGTTAATCTTTTCCTTGGTGATTCATAAATGCATGCATTATCCATATTAAAGATCAATCCACAGATTGCATATATACTTGTATACATTTGTAGAATAAAACAATATTTCTTTTAATAAAGCAACTCTTTATTTACTATCTGTGACGAACCCATTTTTTAAAATAACAAAGAACAAATGAAATATTTCAATTCATGCATACCAGACTATTATGGAGGCAGAATGTGGGATATTGTGTCATTCAACATTAAAATGACAATAACCCGTACTCTAATTTCTTTTATGTATATTTATCCTAAATGTTTGTAAGAATTATGTAACTATTTGATAGGACCCCCCCCCCCCTTTCAGCTACCTGCTGTAAAGTCGGGCCAGGAATCACGGAGCAGCAAATGTCTTGGAAATCATGTTTTGTGGCAACCAAAGAGAGATAGGTCGCTGACCATAAATGACCCACGTCCAGACCTGATCTAAGTAAAGAAAAAAAGTAAATAACTTCACAAGTCTGAAGGGCAATAAACAGTTTTATGATAGTTTAAGTTGTGCATTCTAAACTGAAATAAAATTCCTATAACAAGAGATTTTTTCTGCCAGAGCTAACAGGTGGTTTTTCCCCTATATTCAGCACATGCAGACTTAAACATTGGTGTTGAGCAGATCATAAAATTTATTTTAGGTGTCCATATGCTCAAAGCTTTTTGGTTAGTTTTCTTAACAATTTAAGTGTATGGTACATAATTACTGAATGCTGTCAATATCAAAATTTTCATGGATGTCAAGAGCATGCAAAGTGAAGAACATTGTAAGAACACAAGCACTATGCTTTATCAAGGTATGATCTTATAATCTAGATTGCAATGGGATAAGCACTTTGATATAACATTTTAAGAATCAGTTTCAATACTCAATACACCAAGAGACATGTACTGCACGTTACAATGTGTAACTTCTTTGTTAAAATTGCATCTGATGCAACAGCTTGTATGAAGGACTTAACTCCTAGTGCATTTATCTACATAAGACTCAGAATACCACTTATATTATTTCCTTTTTCAGGATATAAATAAATATTAAGGAGCAATGGGTCAAGGATTTCATACTTAGTGTTATGTCATCTCTATATCTCTTCCTCTCTATATAATAACCCTATAATTTTTTGCCACTACAGTATACTAATAGCTTCGGAGATGATTATATAGTAACAGTTACATATTATGCTATTCTTAGAAGGAAGATTCACTTGATAAAATGACCTGGAGTAAAACAATATTATGGTACAGGCTGATACATGCATGGGTCCTCTTATTAGATGATATCCTGCATTTGACTTCTGGTATGCATATGCAACACAAGAACATACAATGTATTACATGTACTTATTTTGAAGAAGTAATTTTTTTAACTATATGTTTTCCTTCTTCCTGATTTCACTTTTTTTATCATTGTTTCACACTTCTTGCAAAAAGTGAGTAATCATGCCTTCTGGCTCTAAATCTACCTCAACATGCTACCCTATTTTTAAATCATATATTTTAAGGAGGCACAGAGCAAATAATGTGTCTATACTTATAAAATAGGATATTCTTGCTTAGGCCACACAAATTAATTTTTAACATTCTCATCTTAATTTGTTCAAATATATTGCTGTGTATTAACTAATAAATACAATGTATAATGCTACAAACAAAGTGATTATACTATCCTTATGTCGCGGGTTCAAATCCCACTGTTGGTCATGGAGACCGGTCCTTCGGATGAGACCATATAAAGCAAGGTGCTGGCACGAAAACGATCCCTCCCTGCTTAATGGCCTTAAGTGCCAAGTATAGGACAAAATTTGCAGCTCTCCACCAGCAAGTGGTGGCATCTCCATACCAGTGAAAAATTCTTGAAAGGGATGTTAAACAACATACAATCAATCAAAAATTGGAGGGATAAAGATTAAATTTTGAGAGGAGTGATCTACAGTGGGGATTTAAAATTTAATTTTCATATTTATATGTGGCCTTTCTCTTGATTATGTCACTTGATTATTACAAGCTGCATGTCCAAAAAAAATGTGAAGATTAAGCCCCTTAGGGTTATTCTATTTAAGGTCTGAATATACTGAGTAGAGAGACAAAAATAGTAAGATCAGTATATATAAGCTTTCCTTTTTTTCTTGAACCAAAATTTTCAAGTCAAGTGAAGGAGAAACAAAGAATCTCCTACTTTTGGCCTAATCAGTTAAACATTTTCTCACATTTTATTCATTTTTAAGTTATTACTTCTATATCACTGCTATAAATCCCTAAATCCTTTTGCAATAATAAAACTTTTTTCAATTTCTGCAGGTGATGGCAGAAAACCATTAGAGATATGCCAATTAATCCATCACTCCTAAATTTTCATGACTTATGAAAATATTTTGAAATTAAAATCATAACTTTTCCACATCAAAACCCAAGAAATATTCAACTTCATTCAGTTCTTTTTTTAGATGCTACACAATCATAAATTCAGAAAAATGTTTATAAAAGATGCTCCCTTTGTTTGCAATGAATGAGGTGGCTCAATCTCCATTATAAACATGAATCTATTTGACACATGAGATATATATCAAAACATAAACACAAGATGCCTCTGGAATGCAGAAGTAGGCCAGCAAATCTTGGATCTCATACAGATTGGAGCATTATAACCTATATTGCCTTGTTAATAAGAAACTAGAAATAAGACCATGAGACACATATCCCCCACCCAGGGTTCACAAGTAATGTAACATCAGTGTATGAAGTTTGATGAAAATAATTTGAATACTTTCTTCGCACAATTCATAGTAAAAGCAAAGTTCATAAGGATGGTCAAGGTAAAACTAAAAATTAGACACAGTAAATATGGAAAATCCTCACCAAATAATGTTACAGTATCAGACGAGTGCATAATCTCATTAAAAGTGTGTGTCAGAATAT